GCAGAAAAAGAAAGAAAAACAGTCATCAGACGTGAGATGAAAAGAAGGAAACGCATAGCGGGCTCTCAAGGACCAAATGAAAGGAAATCAAGGAGTCGCTGTTTATTCTCCCCCGAGTGGAAAAGCATCTGCAAGAGCTGTGGGAATATTAAGGCTCAATTAAATCCAGCCATTTAGACTGAAAAAAAGCGTCACAACAGCAGGAAACAAAGAAAGACTAAAGCTCATCCTCAAAGAATGCAATTCAGGCGAAGATCTTTAAAAAGTTCTTCGGGCCTGACACCATAATCTACATTTTTAAAACCCAATGGGGGAGGAAATGTTCAGTGATCAGTGTTCATGACCATCATGAGAATGTTATGATTTTAGTTAGGAACAAAGAATTCCCCAAACCTGCCGAATATTCATTTACAACCTAAAATTATAGCTATGTCCTCATGCACACAGAGGGATGCAGGAGGTCCTTCCCACCATCAGTAATAACTTCACAAAATTAAAGTTAAAGGCACTTGTCTGGATTTTTTTTTTCAAATCTGCATTTAAAAGAATAAATATTATCTTAAGGATATATATTTTCCATTTGTAATTCCCTTTTCATCTCACTAAAGCCCAGGACACATAGGAGGTGTTGACTGCTTATGATGTTTGTGAGTGACCATTGAAGTAATTTAAGAATGATATTGCCAGAAATTAAATGTTTTTCATTGTCTGTTTCAAAACGTTTTACTTTAAAACTAAGTAAGTGTAGTCACATTGAAAACTTCAAACCCTCAGATTTGTCCTTAAAACGAGCTCTAGGGTTGAGACTGGCACGTCTGTCCCCTTCATCCTCTCTGACCATGCGAAATATCGATAAAATCAGGTCTTTTGATGGACATTTATCATTGGTGCAGTCAGAGTGTCACGTACTACCACAGTAGGATAACGGGGAATATGTCGTTGTGCACCAGAATTACATGGTAGAAGAGCACTCTGTGCATTAAAATGTGATGTCTTAACATGTGAAAAGCAAGGAAAGTTCATTTATTTTAACAGGCAGATAGGATAAGGTTAGAGTTAGGGTTTAGATGTGTGATTTCTTTAGATAATCCATTCCTAAATGTGTCTATATAGTCTCAGAGAACTGTGTCACTCGGTTTTAGAGTCATTCTAGATTTAATAAAACATTTTTTTAAGAGAAACTCCCAATATTAACATCACAAAGTAGTATGAAACAGCTTAGCGTTTTAATCAATTCTGGGAATATATGGTGACTATAAGTCCCAAGAACCATCCTTACTATAAATAACATGATCTTTAAAAAGATTTCCACTAAGATTCTGGCTAAAAGAAGCCATCTCTCAGATTCCTTCTCCTCAGTGACTAATAATTGCTCTGTGAGAAGCAACGACTTACACAAAACAGAATATATGCATGGAAAAGATCCAGCCATTAAACCCAGTGTCTGATATGACTCTAAATGGGATCATTTCAATCATTTTCCGTCTGTCACAGTCGACCCTTCTTCCCAATCAGATCTTTTAAAATGCAAAAGAAGTACATCGCGCAAGCGTACGGTAACGTGAGTTATTCATATTTAAAACCCTGACGGTGTGTGGGTGGGTGTGTGTGTGTGTGTGTGTGTTCCCAGTGTGTGCACCAAGGGAGTATTGAACCCCCCATGTCCCCCGGCTATGACTTAGTTAGATCAAAACGAGAGAGGAGACAGGCAGCGTGAAAAGGAGGACGCAGGGATGATGCTATAAGAACAACACTGTGGACGAACGAGGTTGTAAGTAGCAAGTTAAACTGTTAAATTGAGCATTTTTTCCAAAAGCAAATTCACTGTGACGTGGTTGTGCCCGTAAAAAATAGTCCCACAGTAACACAAAGAGCAAAAGAAAACACTTATTTCTAATATTCTATTGTGTTACAGTATAGAACCTCTAGAAGTCTGTCTTGTGGCCCTCCACTTTGCATTTGCCCAAAAAAGGAAACTCACACACAAACCTACACAGAGCAGATGGGGCCCTGAGGGGTGGCTTCCAGGCAGAGGCATCTGAGGAACCCCCCCAGAGACAATGTTGGGAGTAATGATGAAGAAACCGCAGAAGAGGACGAATATGACATGTTTAGTGCCGATTAAAAAGAAGGAAGCGATTATTTTTAATGTAATAAAGCATTTTGTTGGACTAAGACAAAAAAACACTGTGAATATTTGAATTTGAAATTATTTTTTTGTCATTTATTGTCCATTTATTCATTTTTTTTCAAGAGGCAATTAATTGTCAATGGGAAATCCTTATCCATTATCCAACCAATCACTTGTAAATTTAGAATCTTCTGTAGCCTTTTCTGCATGTTTTGTTCATCTAAACACTTACTTTTGAATGTGGTAGCACATAAACACCAACTGGGATAATGTGATGTGTGAAAAGCTGTTAGCATTGTTTGGATGACTAACTAGGCCAACCGAAGCTTTGTGACTACCATTTATGAAACACCGAGTAGTAGTTAGTCCAACAGAATATATATGTAATTAGAATTAATTAGTCTTTTAACATTTTCAAGATGCTAAGGGGAAATCTAAGCTAGCCGCCATGGTTAGTTAGAGCCAAGCTCTATCAAAAGGGGTATTGTGATTTGGATTTAGCCTAATTTGAGTTTTCCCTGCACTCCGACACTCTGTTTCTCTCGCTCTGCTACCCAACTTCCTTTTATTCCCCTACCGTCCCCCCCCCTCTACTTCTGACCTCACTCAAAAAAATCTGTGCGGCGTGCCTCACAATGAAGTGTGTTTCTTTCACATGTTAATGCTTTTACTTCCAGCTCAGCGCCCAACACAAGGCGAGAAACAGAGACGGACACAAAAACAAGGCCGTGTACACATGTGGTCCACACACACACACACACACACACGCGCACACACACACACACGGTTACAGTTTCAGAGAACCTAAATGAACTGGCACTGAGCTGGCCCCCAGTTGGGATGATGAACTTCAGCGCCCGACCAAGTGGGACAAAAATAAATAAATAAATAAAAACGCACATATCCAGTTCACTTCAGGCTTTTCATCATCCATGCCAGTGTATCATATAAACCTATTGTAATGTGAAAAAAAAGGGTGTATTCTTCAGGGAACTGTTCTCCTTCCCCTTTTGATGGGAGGACCTTTTTTATTATTATTGTTAAAATAAATGCGCATCCATTGATATTCCCCCTCAAGAGAAATAAGAGTAGTTTCATGTCAAACAAGCTTCACTGGTTTGCGTTTAACTTTTTAACAGCTTAACTGCACACCAATAAAAAAAAACTTGGCTTATCCTCTAGTATTAAGAAAGAAAAATACCATGCAGTTCTAGATACTGCACTGCTCTTCTGACCTTTGACCTGTTTGGCTTCTTTCGTTCGATTTAATGTCGATTTAAATAGTTATTAGCGTCGCCATTTTTGGTTATTTTAACTGCTAGTAGCTGCCTTTGAGTGTCACAGCTGTGTTTTTTTACTCTTACTGCGCACTAACCTTGTCCTCAAACCAAAACCTTGCCTTGATTCTTTTTATCCTATGAGTGATTTTGCATTCTATATCCTTCTAGTTGTGTCTGAATCTTTCGAGTATTCTTTTGTTACTTTGTTTCATAGCTTTTTTGCCTTACTCGTTTATGAGTGATTTCGATTTGATACTTTTCTGAAACCCTCCTCGTTGAGCGATCTTATTTTGTACTTTGTTTCCACTCCCTGTGAGTGCGCCCTGAGTTTAATAAAACCCCTTTTTTGTACTCGATCTCCGCATCTGAGTCCTGTCTGAGCTGCTTCCTTGTCATTGAGATCCAAACTGTAGTTGATACTTTGGAGGAATCCTGGTAAAAAAAAACGGTACTTCTCTCAGCTCATGCACGAGACGCATGATCTACTGCAGGGGTTTTGCATGGGTTGTCGCCTTGTACCCTTAGTTGGCAACTTTGCTGAAGTAAAGCACTCAACATTCATTTTCAACACAATTTCTTTTTCGTTTCCAGTTCATGGAATGACAGTGGCAACAGTGAATTTAGCATGAAAGTAATTATAACCAGAAAAAACAGTGTAGATACTCTGCACTAACTTGAAAATCATTGTCACATATCTCTAATAAATAAATAAGTACAATTAATTTGTTTTCATAGTGGGTATACCTTATGGTAGGTAGATAGATAGATAGATAGATAGATAGATAGATAGATAGATAGATAG